AAGTGATAGAATGCGTCAACCGATTTGTTATAATTGCTTCAAATAATAGAGCTGGAAAGCACATCCATCGTGATGGTTTCGGCGTACATGCCCTATGAATCGGAGCACCCTCATCAAGCAACGGTGCGGAACTTGGTGACCAAGTACGAATACAGTCACATTTTGATTGGAAGCGAAGCCAATGCCCACCATGTCCAGTGGGGCAGCGCAGACATAAACGATGGGGGTGAGTCACTTTTAAACTACCTCCTAACAACTAACCTACTTATATGCTATAAAGGTAGGGAGCCATTACCAAAAACCGTAAGGAAGTACTAGACATAGCTTTATGCAGTGAAAGCTTAACTGAGATGGTGGAGGGTTGGCGGGGTTGGGTTGGTTGGAAATAGTATTGAATTTCTCTCCAACTAGCCCAATACTACGCAAAGACTTAAAAACACAGATTGGAGCTACTATAAACAGCTACTTGCAGACAAGCTCTCTAGCTTAGCCCCTACAGAACCTGAATGTACCGAGGATCTAAAAAAAATGGTCAACTTATTTACCTCGACCTGCTCAGAGATCCTAGGTCAGGCGTGCCCTGATCCTAAGCCGCGGGGTAAATGTAAACCACACACCCGCCTCGCAAATCTTGCAGGAAGCAATTCAATACGGCCAAAAGGCTTAGCTGTGAGCTTGAATGGCAGGAGTACAAGCGGTTATTCCGGGCCTATAAAAAAGCTCTGAGGGAAGCAAACAGATCTTCCTGGAGGGGTTTTTGTAGTGGCATCGAAGGTATTTCCGAAGCTGCCAGGCTGCGAAAACTTCTCTCCAGATCTCCTAACCCGATGGGCTTACAAAAGCACGATGGAACCTGGACCTCCACGGTAAAGGAAACCCTTGAGCTACTCATAGATACCCACTTTCCTGGGAACATAGTTTTAGGGGAAAACTCTCCTTCTGTAACTTCTTCCTACGCAGTGAACATACCCAACTCGGAAGAAAGAGTCAGATGGGCAATACAAAGTTCTAAACCATATAAAACTGCAGGACCAGATGGTTTAATACCTGCACAATTAATTAAGACACTGGATGTGTCTGCAAAATGGCTTCTAATTATTTTCAAGGCCAGTTTCAAGTTTAATCACATACCGCTCGGGTAAAATGTTTAGCAGCATTTCTTTGGAAATTTTAGAAGCACCAACTTCTGCAGAACGTTGTGATGATGGGAAGACTGCTCTGCCGCCAAATTCTGCCATTCGATGAAGAAGTTCGTTTCCACGTTCAAGAAGCTTAATTTCACGCCTTAGCAGCTGTACCTCTCGCTCGTTACGTTCGCCGTTGATGCTGTTGCTTTGGCCGTCGATATCGCCATCGTTGTTGTTGCTTTGGCCGTTGATGTCGCCGTCGTTGTTTTGGCTGTTGCCGCCGTCGTTTCTTTTGTTGTTGTTGTCATCGCCTACTTCGATTTGAATATTCGGGGTTGTTTCACATCGTACTACTTGCAGTTGGCTGTTTGTATGCATGTTTTGTGCACCTCTTTGTATGTCTACCCAGCTATCATCGTACCCAGTAGGGCATACACCACGTTCGTTTGCTGGCACTGAACTGATGCGTAGAGCGAGTGTGCTCTTGTTTCCGCTTGTCGGAAACGCTAATTTACAGTCTTACAAAATTTTTATTACCACTTTTAATTTCTTAAATTTGTTATTTCAATTGCCTGCACCTTACAGTCCACTTTAAGTATCAGTTTTTTTTTATTTTTTAGTTAACTTTTTCTTCACTTTGTCTTTCCCCGAACTCCCACCTTTTCCGTAAAATTTTTGCCTTTTTCAATCTTCAATTGCTTATACTTTCATTTGCATGCACTTCACTGCTTTTGTTGTCAATTGTCTTTGTTTTCACTTTCAATTTGTGTTCTTTAAACTTTTTCAATATAATTTTTAGTTCATTTATTTATGTAATTTGATTTAAACACAAACGCGCTCAGAGAGTGGATTTCAAATCTCACTTCTGAGTTGAAGACGACCGACCACTTTCAATGTCAACTTTATTATGAAATCAGTTCGCTGTACAAAGATGCTTACAAGCTATGATACTTATGTGCATATATCTATGTATGTATGTATGCATATACATACATACGTATACAAACTTACAAAAGCGAGACAGAATTCTAGAGAAACTTACATAGTAACAATGAATAGTATACATATAAGCATGTATGTATGTACAAGTATGTACAATAAAGTATGATGTACAGTCATTTCAGTTTTTCCACAAAAACATCACAACTATGACACACATAAATATCATGACACATATGGTAAACAAACATTTCATACATATACCCAAAGACATACAGCGAAGTGAAACATGAGTATTTTCACTTGCTCCACATACAGTTCATTGTTAAGGTACTTGACCGTACTTAAAAGGTAAACAATAGCAAGTCAAATTTCTTTCTTTCTGTTTTCGATATGTCAAATATCATAAATGGGAGAAATGCAATGTGTTTAAAATTGATGACGATGCTAAATTCTGATTGGTCAATAGATAAGTAAATGCATTTGTAACATGAACAAAAAGCAGAACACCATGTTAAATAGGGCATTTTGGACATATGAATGAAATGCAAGATGTGTCAGATAATTTCTAGATAATTTGTAAATTAGTATATAAGTTGTAAAATTTATAATAAAAACTCAGATTCAGTTTTATACTTGAACTTGCTTGTCTTGTAATTTTACTGTCTGCCGAGTTTTGAGCCTCGCTTTACAAACCAAGGCTCCTATTGCATTAGTCGCGCTTTCATGCTAATGCAATAGCTATCCAAACGCTAAAAACACCACCTAACATATTATATGGCGATCCTGCCCTACCTAACTGAAATCCTAGTAGAATCCTTCTTACATGGATGAAGAATTCCATAAACTTTTTAAAGACTTGGTTGATAGACTTGCAGTGGAGGAGTACAATCCCACTGAGGGCGTGGAAATCCAAGCACCACCCTACATTCCTATCCCGAAACATTGTGGACCACAGCCTATAACAATCGAGCAATACCGAGAGAGAAACCAGTCGAGAAAGCAACGTCCGGAACAGCCAGCAGCACCAACTAAAAAAAAGGCGAAGGGCGGCAAAAAGAAGCGGCTAAACAGAGAAAAAGCGGAGTTAAGGCGTTTAATAGACCTCAGCTGTGGAAGACAAAGGAAATTGTTTTATAATCAATTGAGAGAATTAGAGAAAAAACAAGATATTAATAAATAAATAAATTATGGGTTGGTGGAATAAAGTGAGTAACGCAATTCTCATTGCAATTGCTGGTTACGAAGTAGGTAATAACAACCAAAAACCAAAAGATAACAATGAGAAAGAATATTGGACTTTGGTATCAGCTATAATTTTCGTGATAATTTTGATTATATGTATTTCAAAATTAAAGAGTTATTATAAAAGTTATGTTAATAAGAAAGTAAACAACAATATTGTTTAAATGATGTCACGTAAAATTAAATATTAAATCAAATTATATGAAAAAAAAAAAATATTATAATGTTTTGTAAATGGACCAATTCATAGATCGTTTGACTAGAATTATCACTAATTTGAGAAAATCAGGTAGCAGAGGATATACTAACAACACATTAGTTTTAAAA